GACATAATTTACGATAACGATATAAAATAAGAACATTGACCGTGTCTTTCTACTAACTTCTTGCTGAAGTCAAGTTTAAAATCAGAACCCGTGGGACAAGCAAGGAGCATCTCGCGGAAAACTACGTAACAGCAACGTTTAGACTTGATCACGGATCCTGCGAGACAAGTGCAAGGAAATATGGTCGGACCGCCCTTTAGATTTACAAGAGATAAGGAAGATCAAATAAAAGATACCTCTTTTCTAACTAAAAACTTTTTATGAGAAACTTGCAGTTAGGCATATAAATTTTTTAATGCACTTTATAAATTAAAGTAAATTAATCATAATAAAAATAATTTGGATTTTTATGCGATCTAAAAAATTTACAACCGATAACTACTTGATGAGAAATTTTTTTAAAGCTCATGTAATTTTTTATCTGCAAAGATATCTTTATAGTTTCACCAGTTCAGGATATTTATTTAGTGCCTATGTTGTATCAATTAATCTGAAAATTATACATAAATAATAGAAGTAAATAAGTGATTTTTTTTACGCTAATGTGGAGCAACCAGTAAATAAGGATTGCAATTAAGTAAAATATTTTTCCTATCTGCGATTTTTATGATGAAGATATATTAAATATTTAAGTGTTAATTGTAATAAAAAGTTTGCAAAAACAAGTATCTTTCTGTTTGCAACCGAAGTTATATTTACAGAACCAATTATATTAAGGGCTAATTTTGAATGTCTGAATTACTTTTTTTCTTCTACAGATCACAGATTCACAGGTACACGATTGTGAAATATTAGCAAATTACTAACACAGTTAGACGATAAACTTATTATCAGTCAGCTAGACTATTAATTCAATAATCTCTCGATTTATGGTATTTTCAGCGAAGGATGCACATCTATTATAAAAGTCAGCTATAGTTGTTCAGACAATCAATAATCGAGACGGCGGCATGAGAATACGCCTGCTTTATTGTAATCTGTCTAGTGATCATTTTATACATAGCTGCCGTCGCAACGCGATATTAATTTCAGTCCTCGTAATTAAAAGTTTCACGGGGGAAAATCACTCGCGAGTATTGAGTACGCAAGTTCAATGGGGAGAATATAAATGAGAACGCGCGCGGGTACATTCCAAGGAAGAAGAGAGGAAGGTTTAATATTAAACTGCGCACACACTATCGCGTGAGTTCTCTCCCCGATCTCTTCTTTTATCTGCCAATATTTGTCGTCTTTAATTCTTCCGCCATTATCGTCCTCGCTTCGCTCGTGTGAAGTCTTCTCGTATTTGCGATTAATTATCTTATGAGAAGCGTAGAATAATTATATTCAGAAACATTTGTTGTTTAAAATAATAGATAGGATAAAACTGTGATTACTTAAAAATCTTGCTTGCTTGCACTCGTGTTGGATTCTCTAAAATTATTAATTTTAATCACTGTCTCTACCTTTGATTATTCGCTATAATTAAAAAAGATAATAAAACTGCATTTAAAGTAGTCGCATTTAAATTGCTCGCATCTTCTGATCACGGCATCGCGGACGAATATCCGCGGCGAGAAAATAGGGCGGTGAGCGCCTCGTAAGATGCGCACATCCTTAGCACGAGAAAAAAAAGTAATGAACTTTGCGCCGAACTTATTACACGCTTAACGTTGTAATCTATACGAATTTTCCCGCTTATTCCGCTCCAGTTCCCTTTTTTTATCGGCGAGCATATAACCACTAGCGGGAGGAAAGCTCCGCGATTTTCAACCACCGACGTTGATGACGTTGGGAATAAAACAAAAGGACGAGGTCCGACAAGACGTCGACGTGGGGTGTCTCCGATACGTCCCTCCTTAATCCTCATAAGATGTACGTGCAGCACATAGTAATTTACTTTATGAAGCTTTTCCAGCGCGCGCGTCGAGGTCATCACTTTCTCCCTTTATATCGACCGGCCTGGCGCACCTCCTACGACGCTCATAACCCGTAATAACCGAGAACGATGCCGGGGCGACGAGCGGCGTCGACAATGATAAACGTCTTCACTTGCTGCGCCGGCGAAAAGATCAGGCCGGGGCATCACAAGGTACCGCCGCTCGCCGGCCATAGGAACGGAGAAAACGCAAAGATATTGCAACTCCTCCCAGCAGCCGCCCGCGATCCATCGGTCGGCAGGGTGGGGTAATGCGCCGGCGATATGGAGTAAGTTATGAGAGTCGAGCGGCATCGATTGCCCCTGAGTCAATTACGCGCGACACCCGTCGAAAGCGATGCGCGATGATGCATTGCAAGCAATGATGTAACGCGATGATTCTCAACATGCGCCACATGCCGTATAACACCGCAGAGAAGCTCTGCGCTGTATTTCGGAAGGACCTGCATATAAAATGCAGGAAATTAGCGGAGCGCAGGAAAATTCGCAAGAGAGTCGCAATTTTCGTCTAATATAAATCATGAGAAATGGAAATTTTACGACGCTAAACGACATAAAAAGAATCACGTGCTTTAAAAGAAACACACACACTGACGTAAAGTACTAAATTAATATTTACCACGTAAGCTTCTGCGAAAAGCTTGTAGTAATTATATACGAGTGATATTTACAGAGAGGAAACACGGGAGGTTGTTGTGAGTCTGAACTTCAAACGCCATATATAGGAAGTTGCCATAATTACAGCGCACCAAGATCTTTCAGCTCACGCGTCTTTCCTGTGACCCGTGTGAATGCGGGTCATATACGCCTATTTAATTGGACTGTTTAACGATTCAATGCCATATGGTGCATAATAAACGAACCGAGTGTACACTTTGATCAAACAAATGTTCGAAGCTGTCGCGATCACGCCCAGTTCGCTCGACATTGTCGTCGGATCATTAATTGGCGCATGAACGCATTTACATCGAGATTGCGCTTCACCAATTAATTATACAACTACCTGCCGCGAGTCAATCATTGAGTCATGTTTACATAGTTGTCTTACCGGAAAAATTAAAAAAAGAGACACCGTTTATCATTCTTCAACTAAGAATAAACATGTATAACATGGAAAGAGAAAGGCAGAGAGAAATATCGATCTTTTTGCCTTATGAAAAAAGCGCATGCATAAAACCAGATGAAACTATTTATTCATGTATGCATTTGATAATAAAAACTAAAAGCAATTAAATATTCTCTTATAAAGAAAGATATTCGCTGTGATGTGTATTATTCGAGAAATACGCTGACATATTTGTCTTGAAATTTGTTCAAATGTAATCAGATGATAATAGATCTTATTTGATAATATAATTTTCTTTTTGCAAGAAAATTTTATTTTTTATTGAACTGTTTAAAGAGATTCTACATTTTTAATATTCGTTCTTGATTCGTTCTTCTGATTTCTCGACTTTTAGCAAAATTAATTCGCTACATTCGTGTCTTCTGACTTTGAACAAAATGTATACAAGTGTCGACTCATAAATAACTTTAATTCACACCCAATGAGAAAATCGGTAAAAACTTACATTTTTATCGAGGGTCAAAAGTGCATTAGCAAGATTATACATATATCGCTTCGCACGCCGGAGGAAGATGCTTTTTGCGAAGCGCTCCAGCGAGACTTCGGCGAACACGCCAGAGGACGTATTCGATAAATGGTTTGCCGTAAAAAAGTCCATCGTGCACTTTGCTTCGTTCGATACTGTCATAAATAATTAGAGAATACCCTGGACGGCGAGGAGAGTTTGTGCCGCATGTCTCACAAATGTCGTAGGTTTCACGTGATGCGGAGAATCATTAGCAGTAAATCTGCAAGGTGAAACGCGCGATCGCACAAGCATAATAAAAATGTTTATTTCGATTTTCATGAGGCTAATTTGATGCTAATAATTGTAATTTATGTTTTGCTTACATACATTAAAACTGGAAATTGCTGTTATTGGATACCAGATCAAATCTGTTTTTCTTTCTTATGCAAGAATAACTATCTTTAGAAAGAATTTACGCATTCATTGCAAATGTAAAAATATTCTTATGTTGAATCTATAAAGCAAAGCTATGCGTGTAAATATTTGTAATCTAAACTTGGTAGAAAGAAACGGACGGTAGAATAACACGCAAGTACAGAGAAATTCAACTCGATAAATCGGGATTGATTAGCTTTTTCTAAAAATTTGAAAATTCTCTTTTATTGAAAATTTTTATTATTTTTCTATCTTATGCATACAAATCAATAAAAATCCTCAGTGAATTTTTCAAGGTAAAAATCGTCGATTTATACAATCAACATACGGAAACTTGCATGATTTTTCAATGATTTTTCCATTTTACAGCGATTGCCTAAAGAATTATCATAATCGTTGACATATAAAATTGATTACCCGTTTTACATTATTTTAGTCATTCCAGTTTTGTATGCTCTAATGAAGTTTTATTTAAAGACTAACTTTGTAGACATAATTTAATATGTTTAAGTATGATCCATAAAAATGATGGATAGCATTACGATGCATCATCACTAGTAATGGTCAAAAAAGGTAGTTCATTATAATATTCTCCCGTTAGCACGCAATGACTGTTTAACTATGCAGATTACTATATCAACCTCTTCAGAAATGAATTTATTAAAGAAACTTTATTCTTTTAATTATATTTATTCAAAAGGTATTTATAATTATCCATTAAATATCAATTCTTTTGTATTGGGATATCGTGATGAATTCGTAGTCATTTTTATTATATCTTTGTCAATCATATTTAAATTAAATAAAACTAAACGTACACATACGTGCCAAATATCTTCGAAGAGGTTAAAGATTTCAGTTTCTCACATAACAAATTAATGATGATAAGTTCAAGAGATCCTCGATTTCCAAGATTTCCATCAATCTACGTTTTTTTTTTTTTTTTTTTTGAATAGAAGAGTAACATTGTTGACATTATAATAATATGTACTCGCACGTATAAATACGTAATTTATGTGCAATAATTCTTACTACACGTAACCACTGTTTTTTATCGACAATCGGAATCGCCAATCCTTCCACTGCACCTCGTCCGATTACAGACGAAGCGCGATACGGTTCGACTGTGTACAGTGTGCAGTATCAATGTTGCACGCGAGGCATCGACAACGCCGTTGCTTACGTCGGTTTACAAAATTTATAAATTATACGATCCCGTAGATCAAACGCATCCCGATCTGACTCTCTCTCTCGCAGCCGACGAGTTTAACCCGACATACGTATCTATCTCTTGACGGCGACATCGAATCGTGTTTCAATAATCGATCAACGCATTTTCACGATAGTCAACAACATTTGCAGAAAAAATATAGCGCGATGTCGTGTCGGTGCATGAGCGTTGTTACGCCAGCGCTACCGGAAGTTCGTATGAATATTCAATTGGCGCGCGAGTTTTGCGTCGCACGCTCGTAGCAGGCGCGGATTCGTCAATCTCCAGAGTTCTCTTTTTTTTCGTAGCAAATATCGATCGGATGACAAAGTGAAAGACAGAAAGATAGGAAGACGAGTGCGCGGCTCGCGAAGAGATATGTCGCACAATTCGAACTTGTCGACATTGTCATCATTTTCGTCTACGGATCAAACGCCGGATGATGCGAGGGACGAGTACCTCGCCAGGTGGGAGATCGCGGTGCTGACCAGCATATTTCTCATCACTCTCATTGGCAATGTTATGATTCTATTCGCTCTTTACGCCAGACGACGTTACCAGCGACGAAAGTTCACCAGGATGTACTTCTTCATTCTGCATTTGAGCATTGCCGATCTGTTAACAGGTCTGTTCGATGTTCTGCCGCAACTCGCATGGGACATAACGTTCAGGTAAGCTGCACCGTCATAGCTGACCTTGTTGTGACTATTTAATGATTTCTCGTTAAGTAATATGCAAATTCTTATCAAAATAGCGATAGTAACAAATAATACGTTAAACACGTTTTCTTATCTATAATATGTCAGCTGTGACATTGCACTGGTCAAAGTCATTTACATCAGTTTTGTTATTCAAATGGAAAAAACCGATGTTTAAAAGTAGACATAATAAAAGTATATAAATACGATAAAATAAATCAAGAATTTTTTTAAGTTTTTAATGTCTTAATTAATAGATATATCGAGTTTTTTTGATTAAATTATAAAACAACTATCATTTAAATCAGTAAAAATAGATACATATTTTGTATTTTTTCATAATAATTGTATATATCGACACTTTGATTAAAAAATTATATATATTCGTCAAAATGTGACATATACTAGAATTAATTTAAAATAATCAAGAAACAATTGTTAACACGCTTCTACAAAATCTACAACCCAAAAATATAATTCCATACAAAAATCTGAAAAGCAATTTTGAAATTTTTTCTGGTTTTCAATATTAACTTGATACAATCTTAAATAAAAAAACTTACTAAATTTCAGTAAACGGACCTTTGAAGAAACTTAGCATATCTTTGAAATACAAATTTCTGTATTTAAGTTTCCTTGCCGGATTTTGCTAAATATAATATAGATGATCCAATTAAGGAAATTTCGCAGAATGATCGTCAGATTTCAGGGTGGAGCAATACTCTGTAAACTGATCAAATTCGGACAGCCGTTCGGTCTGTATCTCGGTTCCTATATCCTGACGGTGACCGCGCTGGACAGATATTACGCCATTTGCCATCCCTTCAGTTACTGCAGCGTCACGTCTAGAAGATCGAAAATGATGGTTTTTGCGGCGTGGGCATTTGCCGCTATACTGTGTGTACCGCAGGTCCGTTGAAAATTTAATTCGCGCCTTCGTTCTCCGCGAGAAGTGTCTTATTCACCACCGGCTTTGCTTTACAAAGAACGGCGGATCAGTTTACTTGAGATATTAATTTTTATCCTATGCAGACAGCAGACGCAAATTTAATAGGCGCGTCGACGTGCTAATTTATGAGGGTGCTAATTGCACGGACTTGTCGCTTATAAATGTGCTGTCCGCTTATTTCACACAGGGGAATTTGCTTCGCGAATTTCTTGACACTTTGATAAACGTATCCGGCGCGTATCGCCAAATTAGACCTGACAAATGTTGTTACGTTTTTATTGTGATGAATAACAGAAGGGCGGTTTTTTGTTCCAAAATTATAGGTTTTCATATTCTCGTATAAAGAAATATCGCCGGGCGTTTGGGAATGTTGGGCCACTTTTTACCTGAAATATGGCGAGGCAGCTTATATTACTTGGTAATGTCCATTCATACGTTATGTACTTTAAACATTCAACGATGTCAGTAAATTTTAAAATGCCGTGATTTAATTGTAGGTACAGTGTCACGCAGTTCCTATTACCTTTTATTGTGCTCGTGTACACTTACACGAGAATATGTATATCGATTTGGACGAGCAATACAATGTCAGGAGTCGTTGGTTTTAAAAAGAGCGACAAAGCTAGTTTCGCACATCGCAATCGGGATCCGTTTATCTCTAAGGCGTTGATCAATACTGTGAAACAGACGATCGTTGTGGTTACTTTGTACATCATCACCAATATCCCTTTTATTGGATGCGAACTCTGGGCAACGTGGGACCCCAAAGCTTCCACATCGCCATTCTTTAGCGGTAAATACTCTGCAAAACAGCAATGACGAATCACAAGAGAAACTATTATTAAATAAAAGATAAGCTGTAATAATTATTCAGCAAAATTTGAAAATTCGAATATCTTTGCTTAAATCATATTTAACTGACAATGTTGCAATTAATAATGTTAATTTAGCATGACTATGGATTGGTTTAAATATTAATGAAACAGTGACTAAATTTCAAGATTTTGAATTATTGATTAATTCTTATCTCGTTATATATGTTAAAATTTCCAGGAGCTATTTTCACCATTTTAAGCCTCTTAAACAGTCTAACGAGCTGCGTTAACCCTTGGATTTACTTTGCATTCAACAAAGAATTACGCGCGGCGTTGACAAATTTTTTCTGCAGAAAAAAAGACTATTCATTGACCAATGGTAATCGTAACACACACTCGCAAGAAAAGTAACACAGAAGTCAGAAATATCAAATTGTTCAGGAAAAAGGAAAGAAGGAATTGCGTTAATATTAACGTTTCCTGTTAATAATATTACAAATTTTTTTCCCAAATACTGTTGCAAATTATAAATCGTCTGAAGCAAGCTTGATTTTACGGAAAATAATTTTACATATCTATGCTTGGTTAAACAATAATTTTTAAATTAATTATTTACGGCAGTATTAAATATAGCGGATTTACGCGGAAAGTATTTAAATTCAACTTTTCTCTCACTTTTTCTGATTGAACACCGATGTATTTAAAACATAATCCACGCATAAAGTACAATTCGAAAAATTTCGACATGTCACTTTTCTTGCGAGTGTGCGATAATTTTTTTTTTATATGATACTTGTTGTTAAACTGAAAGAAAGAAAATATAATATCATAATATTTATAGGTATAGATACACATCAAAATGCGTCGGATGTACCTTCTACGACATCGTCGTTTATTTCTAGAATCTCTCGACTTGCGAGTTCAAAGATATTCGGATAAAGAGGAAACGAAACAAAGTTTGCATTTTGAGGAGGACTGTTTTGAATATAAAGAATATATTGTCAATAGTTGATGCATACATACATCTGCGAACGTGCAAATGCGTTCAATACGACAATGTCGCGGCATGCGAATGCTTCCTGCGAGTATTTTTTAATAAAATTCGTTTATGAAAAGATTACAAAAATACCTGCACGTAAACAAAAGTCATTTTTTGTATGAACACTTCAGAACAATCCACTCGGCTGTATGATCGGAATTATCCACTGTCACAAATCTTCGTCACTTGAAAATATTCAAGCTCGCATATTTTCGCAAACCGTATCCGTTGAGAGCGTAATTGCGCTTTCGAGCTTTTTCTTTTCTACCATATTCGTAATTCCCGTCGCATCTCCGTCCACGTGCGCCATTCTTCACGATCTGTTATACTTGCACGGTTCCACCTCATTAGTATTTCCATCGGTCGGGCGTCTATTATGTCCCGATGTTTGTACTCCCATTTTTATCCCGATCATCCCAGAGACTCTCACACGTATGCTAATATCGCGCACCAGGTATGGGCACCCGTAGCTAGACGCCACCGCTATCCATCTAATAATTGGAAGATGCAATAAACAAAATTAATTATAATACAAAAAATTTATATCACTGTTAATCATTTATTGCGAGCAGAATTTTTTAAATAAGTAATAAGTTGATCAATATTTATATCAATTTTTTTTACTTAATCAGTAAAAAATTAAATACAAACTTTATTAATTTCGATAACTTGGTGTAAAATTTATATTATTATCGTAATTCTGAATGTTGGCATAATATATTCCAAAGAATAATGATTATAGTCATTTCACAAAATTATTAGTTTCCGCGAGTGTACCGCTTGATTTTTTTGTCAATTATATTGTTATATTAATGACTTTCAATAATTTTCAAATTTTTACCATTTGGCTTGTATGCATAATGATCAAGTTTGCTATTAAAAGTATTTTTTGTCAAAAATGAGATATTCTAAGCAGGGCCCATGCGACATTTGGTACATTCCTCTGTTCGCGGCGACCATCTGGTCACGATAAATTGAGAACCCTTGATGGAACACCTGAATACTTAATAAACGGATAAAATTAACATTAATAACGACTGTCTGTGGCCGATCCACATCTTATCCGAGGACAAACGCGGTCGCTAGATCCACGTGATATATGCCTTACGAGACTTCGGCAAGAAAGGCGACTCGTCAGTTTTCCAAGTCGTTTCTCTTCAGTACATCGATGGATGACACCAGAGTCAAGGAGGAGGTACCGTTCCTGCTCGATCCGGTGCCTAGGATGGAGCAAAATTCGGAGGAATATCGCGCCGAGCCGGCGAAAAACGAGGTATAGATGCGCATCAGAATGCGTCGGATGTACCCTCTACGACATCGTCGTTTATTTTTAGAATCTCGACTTGCGAGTTATTTTACAAAAAAGCGAGAAAAACGAGGTAGCAGCAATCAGATCGAGACGATATCACCGCTACAAGTGTGACGTTGCAATGATAAAATTGACAGTCGTCACTTTTTCATGACTTTGCGCAAGCTGTACACCTGTATAGCCAAAATAAATGTTTATGAAATAAAATATTCATATTTTCTTGAATTTTAAATCAAATTCTATAAAGTATTTATATATTTTGCATTGATTAGCAACTTAATCAGTCTGTATTATTCACTTATTAAATGAGTAGTCACTTTTAATTACAACGATTCTTAGATCTATTCTTGAAATATATTTCGGTGTCACATTTATCTCGCGTCATAACGTATAAGAAGGACCATATCGAGAAATCAATCTAATCAAATCTCGCTCGAATTTGCCAGGTCAGAATGTGAAAAAAATTAAAATGATTTTCAGTCCGAGAACGAGAGCAATGAGGAGGATTACGCGCGTTCGCCTGTATTACTAGATCTGGATGAGAACTCGAAGCAACAGCGGCAGAAGGCTGCGAGTCAAAAAGTGAGCTCACAAGTGAATACGATATCGGCGATGGATCAACATTTGCAGGATCAAGGATTGGTTTCAGGTGTGTGAAGAACCTTCAGTTTCCACGTCGGAGCACAGAGAAAATTAACCGTGCTTATTATATGTTGCACGTGCTTATCAGTTACACGTTTTTCAATTATTACATTCAAGTATCATAGACGTAATTGACCAATTAGTGGATTGTTTTTTTGATTCATGTTGTTTAATCCGCGGTTTTTACATGTTCAGTACATAATCAATACGTTAGTGAATGGAATTGCGTCATTAACTACATATGTGTTTTTTGTAGAAGAGGCACGTTTGCAGACCGTAAGAAGCAGATGGCAAGAAGCGAGCTTCGAGACGCGCAGCCAGCAGAATCCCGAGGGAGTAGTTGTGATTAGGGTGCCGGAACCGGAAATAATCGGCAGCCACTCGCATCTCGAGATGCTCCACGAGACCAACATTAAATCGGTGCAACGGGAGTCGTCGCAGACTGAGAAAGGTGCGGCAATGTCAAATTGCGCATTGCCTGGTGAGATTACATTCACAATTGAGCTAATCTAAGCTTTGGGAGAACTGACGCGCGATAACTGACATAATATCACAGTCCTTAAATTACGTTTTCCAAGTGATAAAGTGACGAAGTTAAGATAAATTATTTATACGAATTACCGGCATTTACAGATGTTCTTTGGATTGCTAGTTTCCTTGCAGCGGAAGAGTTAACAGAGAGGATTGCTTAATCGTCTGATGTTAACGACGCCGTTCGCAATTAGATGAGTATCTCGCTTGGTTGTCTTTGGCAAACGTCGACGCAGCTCTCGTTCCAGCAGCATAACTCGTAGACTTTTGTCACGCGTCTGCTGTATCTGTCGCACAAGAATCGAGGGACGTTGCTGCTCCTCACGTGACTTATTCTCCGTCGCCGTGTCGCGCCAGTTCCCCTCATTCCTGCGAAAACGCGAACACAATAAAACGCATGAATATCAATTTGTGCAAAACGTATGCACGTATTTTCGAAAAAAGGCAAGCTCTTTTTTGCATTACAGTTGTATTCAATTTATATTCCGCCGATACATTTTTATGCCAAGTGACGCGTTTAAAGTTATTTGTAGACGTGCGTGAGAGCCTCGTAGAAACTCGTACTACGGTACGGTACAATCGCGCGAACTCGATTTACGACAACTCAACCGATTTCGAGTCTGTGAAGCTCGTATATGTATGCGATCAATCGGAAAATTCATCATTCTCGCACCATCTTTGAATTCGCGATTTTAATGCTTGCAAGTCGCAAAGAAATTTCAATAAAATTAAAAGATATTTACACTTAGACCACAATGCACAGAATGTCTCGCACTTCCGTATTATTTTCTAACGACTAGACTCTTTGAAATCAAGTTTTTAATTAAATTCTTTCGGGTGTTCTTGCGGAATATAATAATTGCGATAATTCGCAAACCACGCTACCTGCACGTGTAATCCGCAATGTAGCCGTTGTTGACTCTCTTCAAGCGTATACTACCCCCATCGGCGCCTCTTCTCTGTCTGTTATGGCCTTGGCCATCCCTCGAGACACGCTCGACGCGCTTCCTGGACCGCTTGTCGATAGGCAAGACATGATCTGTCGGTCCCTTAGTGCCCATTCCGCCGCGTTTCCCCAGAATCTTAGCGAAAAACTGCAAAACTGTTTGTCCCCCGTCCTTCCACCAACTGCTACATTTCTCTTTCTCCTTGGCCTCGTCGTCGCGATCGCCGTTCTGTTTCCGGTCGACGCTCCTACAGTTGCGCTCCATCTGACCTGGCAATTTCTTGTTGCGCACCATCTTCCACACAGTTTCCCGATGAATGTCCTCGACTTGCGGAAATTTCGCAGATTTCTCAGAATCACCCCGGACGAGCGCTAGAACGTTCTCTTGTTCTGTTGAGGATGGAAGATTTCCGGAAGGCTCGATGGCTTCGGTTTCTACGCAAATGTCTTGGCATCCCTTTTTATCTTTGAAATGAAGATATAAAACTCTTTCAATCTCTTTGCCTCTCGTTTTGCGTGATCTCATATTTGTGGTGGATTTAACATTTACATAGATGTAAAATATAGATAATCAGTTTATAAATTTTCGAGGAATTCCTAAAGCATAATTCCTAAATAATACAATTTTTCAATTTATAATAAAAATTCCTTTAGAATCGATGGTTTGTTGCCATAGAAAGTTGCTTTTTATTCTGTCTGTATCATAAATTAACAATAAATATGCGTGAATTTTTAGGACTCAGCATATTGTTTGTCTATTTAATATTCGGATTTATTGACACCGAATACCGAGAATACCGAGAGATGTAATTTATTATTCGTCACTTCTTACTTCTTACTTTGATCATTGTCTTCGAAGTCACGGCAAGTAACAAGCGCTACTTCGGTCGAACTTTGTTTCGATTCCACCGTTTTGCTGCGGTCTGGAAGTTTCGTACCGATTCCGAATCCAGGATTTACACTCGCGGAATCCTGAACCACATGGAAACGACCCGACTGTGAATTTGAGATTCGCGGCATAATACGCATTAACGTCATCCTTTTGCGCATATGAGGCAAAGGTAGTCGAAAATATCGTGCGTCGTTCAACCTTAGTCCTTTTAACACAACAATAGCGATAATATATTAACATTAATAGCAAAAATATTGTTTTTTGGACTTATTTTGTATATTTTACACATTGAATCGTCGACATATTTTTTCGATGCTTAAAAAAAATCATAAGATTTCTAATTCATCTTTCTCTAATGTTCAAAAGCTCAACAATGGCTATATAGTTTTTTTATCACATATTTTTATACAAGATGTAGTCAAATTGCAGGAAAAGCACATGGTTTACTAACAATAAGCGATAGTTTTCATGAAATGGATTGATTCAGGGCAATAGCATTTCAATTTCAGATTAATATTATCTGAATATGTTTAAGAAATGAATAATGCAAAAACAGCGTGTGAATAATGCAAGCAGCCTTCAAAATTTTATGTCAAATATAATTGATGCATAAAGTACTAAGAAACAATTATCTTTTGAAGGAGATCGATTGCGGTGATTAAATGCCTCTGTACAAAATATAAACGCAAGTTTTTCCGTAAGACATGTTGATAGGTCAAGAATACTCGTAATTGTCATAAGAATGCAATAGCACAACACAAACTAAATTTGCAATTTAAATATACGATAAGCTGTGAAATTAACATGAGACATTATCGTACATGAGCTACATGAAAAATTGTGAATTTATATGATATGCAAAAATATTTGCTGTTTTAAATTTTTATTTAATACATTTTTTAAATAATAATATATATCACTTTTAATTCTAACCTTTGCGGCTTGCTTTGATATTCGTCATTTTTAAGTATCTTTCAATTTTATTCCAAAATGTGTATCCAAAAATGAGTAGCAAAATTTTCTATGGTGTTACGGTGTATTTTTCAGTTCTCTTTTTCTTGAACATTTTATAAAGCAAATAATCCAAATTTATCCTCATATTTGTGTTTATTAGTCATATTAGTCTTTTTTTGTTTTCCCAGCAGTAATGTTTATTGAATGAGATAGTAATTTCATATTTTATTCAGTTTTGTAGAGGTACCATGCCATCAGCGTATATATTTGCTGATGCAAAAATATCTCTTTATTAATAAAATTAAATCTATTACCGAATATTATTAAAATTAAAATACTCTATTATCTTTCTTTTTTATCTTTCTCTTTCATCTTGTGAAATTAAATTTTCTTTAACGATTTATTTGCAGGATTATTTTCAATTGCTTATAATTAAAAAAAATTCTCGCATTTATTTTTATATAAAAAATTTTTTGTGTTTTTAAATCTTTGTGCTAGATCCAAAATACATACCGTGCAATTTGTCATCTTACATAAAATCTAAAGTGCTTTTTAAAAAAAATTGATTTAACTTGTTTGCCCAAAAAACATTCGATTCGTTCAATCATTCGAGCAAGTCGTTATCGCGCGACAATACGCCGACAATGACGACGACGAATGCGCACAAGAACGATCATTAACTTTGGTGTAATTAACGATTTCAGACTACAAGAAGTCGGCTTGCGATCGCGAGCGCACTCGCATGCGCGACATGAATCGCGCATTTGAGTTGTTACGTTCCAAGTTGCCGATATGCAAGCCACCCGGTAAGAAGCTCTCCAAGATCGAATCTCTGCGCCACGCCATCACGTATATCAGGCACTTGCAGAGTCTGCTGGAGCCGCAGTACAACTATGTACCCAGCATGCCCGAACGATCCAGCGGCGGTGGCTACTACGCGGTACCATCTGGTCCTCCGACGTCCTTCGAGGTGCAACATCCGGCAGCTCGATGGGATTCTTTGGCCTACTATCGATATGATTATCATGCTCCCTTCGCCACCCCATCGCCGCCAACTTTAGTATCATCCTTGCAACCGAGATTACCGGTCGACCAAGACGACCGACAGTTCTCTTATGAAGCACGCCACTAGATCGTCTTGAAATTAATAGAGTAACTTCTTAGATGTTTTAGAGAGAGCATACATTATCATCTCAAATCCTCGATGAAAAAGCGCAATATCAAACTTTCTGTATTTGAAATTTTTACAGGATTTGTTCTTGTTGGCGCACTTTTTTACTTTTTTGCGAACAATGAATATTTAGAGGAAAAAAAAGGAAATATAAGATTGCAGGAAAACGTAGAAAAGTGCGGTTAAAAAGAAAAGATCTCATGAATCATGTAAAAAGCAGAATTTATACGAGTGTGCCTTATTTATAGAGACTAAACGAGCTTGTTTATTTTTCTTCGTCGCTGTAATATATCATTTCTGCAAAGTCATTAGTCTCTCGAGAACCATTACTCAAAGTAATAGCAATCCCGCGTCAGAAATTTAATAAGCAGCAATTCGGATACTGATAAAGTCGTAGATGCTGTTATAAAATTTATCATAGATATAAAAATAGACGTTTAAATGATTCTAACATATTCTTTTATTAGCAACCTTTCTTATTTAGATACGTAAAAATATGAAAATATATCTTTCTCATGTACAACGAATTATCATAAGGAATACAAATTGTCTCCTAAAATAAAATTGTATATTATATAAATTGCCAAAGCGTTATGAAAAACATGAAATGCAAAACTTACTTGGCCTCTATCTGATTTTTGTAATTAATTAGTTGCATCATAATGATAATTTGCTTCTTTTACATACACTGAATGCCTAATACAATGATACGTCACGTGTTACGATGATAGCTATATGATAGTGTTATATTTCGTCTGTTGCGCTGTGTTTGGCGGCGTCGTGGTCGGATGGATATGCAGTGGAAGATCCCAAATCATCGTTTCCACATCCAAAGTCGACGGTCCATGCCAGCTGATGGTGCTTTCGCTGGGCATCTCCACCAATTTTGGCGTTGTGACAAATTCGAAGTGCAGCCGCCATTTAAGTGTCACCAAATCAGTAGTAAAGTCTGGTGTGACGTGCAGAGGTATTGGTAGCACCACATGAGAGTACTTCAAGCCCAGACACATTTCATGATGTTTATTGTAACTGATCAACGTCGGCATAGCTTTTCCTCGCTTGTACTCCTCTGATACATGTTCCTCCGATTGCAAAGACACGGACACTTGAACGCAAGAAACAGTAGCGTTTGAGAAATCAAAAGTTCCGACTATATCCTCGCCAAGTTTGTAGGAATTCTTGAAAAGGCAAAATCGCACTACGCGGCCGCGGCCATTCGTCACGTTGTAAAAGTTTGGACTGCGTCTGGCAGTTAAATTCTGAAACATTGAATATACAATCACGTAACATGAAAAATTTTTGTAAAATTTTTAAAGCGCACTAAAAGTACGAAGAAACTATGTAACCTGCAATGTTTGAAGGGCAAGATCTAATGGAGTTTCTCGGTGTTGCGTTTCCATAAATGGATTATTTGGGCTCAGATCTACGCTATCATTGCATGCTATTATCTCTGGCAATTCTGTGAAACAATACAAGGTTTATGTTATCATCATTTCATAATTTCCTTAAAAATACTAAGAATATTACCACTTAAAGAGAGTACTCTAAATGGTACCCGTAATAGTTTTATAACTGTATTCACTCTTTGTGTTCCAATTGTAATCTTATAAGAATATTTTACAGCCTGTCCTCTATATGAAGGTGGAGCATCACTTGGTATTGTTTCGCGATAAATATCTGTTGAAAAAATTTATAAAGTATAAGTATATATAAGTATATATACGTGTGTATAAGTATATATATATATATGTATATTGTTGTATAATTATTAAATAAATAATTCTGGATAGGAGCTCTTAATTAAAATACTCATGAACAAACTTACATGTTTTACTTTCTCCAGGTGATAGTCTTAAATCACAACACAATATTTTTGGTTTTGTATTTAGCACTACATGTCCATTATCTTGTTGCCATGGTGCAAATGTAGTATCTGTAACACAATAAATGTATGTATATAATTATTAAAAATTATGTATTCAAATAAAATAGTTTCTCTGAATTCTTACTTGCATTAATTGCTACTGAGCGAGCTGCAGTATTTATTTTCTCTGAAAGTACCATTTTGCTATTTGTTGAACATTGGCAATGAACCTGTGCACTTGCCCATGCGAGGCTCTCGAACAAATCACTATAGAAAAGCATAATTAATTAATATAAAACATAATTATAAATAATAATAATCATTACAAATAATTAACATTATATTATTAACAGTATCATACCTATGGCTCTGCGATATTTGATGATTTGGATTAGGTGGATTAGTGAATGTAACCAAACATTCTATAATTTCTCCGGAGAAATATACAGGACCTCGTACGAGTTTTGCCGTAATTTCTATCATGTTTGCTTCTTTTTAAGTTGACATATATACTTTCTCAAACATAACATCCGTCATTGAGATTCCAACTTTGTATCACATCACATACATTCAATGATCTACACATCTAAAATGGATGTTAAAATATATGTACCACGTATACAAAAGTTTATTTGTTAATTTACTCATCACTTTTTCTAATTTCTAATGTCAAAATTTCTAATCATTTCTAATCATGCAAAATGTTTACACTCCTACCAAGTGAGAAGACATTTTATTACTGCCAACTGCTGCCAACATGACGTTCAATCTTTATAAAAAACCTGTATGATTGTCTAGAGATATTTTTTGAAACATAGCAAAAATCTCTAATAAGCAGCCAATCCAATCATTTTGGGAGCTTTCCATCTAGGAGACACAGTTCGACCTGAGAGTGTGCGTGCATACATAACGTATACTATAGATACATGCGTGCATATGTGCTTTATGGAACGCAACCTGAGAGTGGACATGCCCGCATTTTACAGGCGGGAGCACAGACTTTTGCATAAAGCATAACGCATAAGCATAAGGAAATTGATTGGTCCGTTTCCTTATGCATTTGCTTATGCTTATATATAGACCAATCAATTTCCTTATGCTTATGCGTGAAGGCCGGAGCACAGACTTTTACATAAA